TTACCCTCATTTCCACAATACACCTTAAACACCCCTCACGACACTAACGAAACACGTAACTTTGTAGACGAACACGTTTTAATGCCTACCCTTCCTTGGACCTCATATTATCATTTTACTAATCCCCTTTGCTTACCTTTATCTAACACTCACATCGATATAGAACGAAATAAGGACATGCTATATCGACTCACTACACCACTAACACCTAGACAATTTACTTACATCGGATATAAAAAATCACTAAAAACATACACTGCACCCCGAGCTAACGAATATACGCTAGAATATTACGATCATAACATCATCAGAACTAACCAAGATCAATTCTTAGACGACGATCGCTTCGTTAACCCACAAATCACAGAAAAATTTTTCATTAAAACACCATATGTATTTACACTCAATATCTTTGACCGCAAATTTGACCACATCATTTCAGAAGCACTAACAGACACACAAGCTTACGAAAGTTTTAAAGAACGCTTCCAAATATTTTCACTAACCTTTCATTTCCTTGCACCACATGAAAGAGATTTGCACTGCTCACACGATATTATGTTGCGCACTAAACAAACTCACACATATACATATTATCGTTTTATCCAAAATCACTTCGACCTACACACCCCCTCCAGACAACCACACCACCGTTTTCAATTCATCAATTCCAAATACACCTCACCATTCTTTCTTAACTTCACATATTGCATTAAAGATACTAACCTTCATGGTATTCTTCGAAATTATGATCCCATAACCCAAATGTATATTTTTTGTCCCATCACCAAGACCTTCAACGCAGAAGAATCCCGACCCTTTCTCCTCCCACACGAATTTGTTCAACCTATAGAAATCCCCATTTTAGAATTCATCCACAACACTAAATTCAATCACAAATTATACAATCTAATCCAAAACACACCTTATGAGTTTGCAGTTGGCACTGAAGAACTAACCACCATTAAAGCACTTCAATTGCTTTGGCCACTGCTTCAAACTAAAAATATCATCCGCATCCTAGCTAAATTACTAACAACTTCAGATCTCATCCACGACATCTTCCCCCACGGTTTCTTCCCCGACGACTAACAGGTAAGTATGAACTATACATATTATTAACTAGTCATTGAAATTAGGAACTAACCATTCTTTATTCATGTCTTCTTTAGAATTTTAGCCTTCATCCAACGATCATCTGAAAAATTCACAAAAGAAAAAAAAAATTAAAAACTTCTTCAAACTGTTTAAAACTCTATTAATTTTTTGCACCAAATAATTAAATAAAAATAATACCAATGCAATAATTTAATTTATAAATTTTTTCCCAAATGCAGTAAATCTAAGAATGATGAAAATTTGTAACTTAATTTTCCCCAACAACTAGCAGTAAAATTGAAATTCTATGTAGTAAATTAATAAGAAGCAAATGCAGTACTAACCTTTTGATATTTTCATTCATTCGCACAAAGATTCTATCCACACTCGCACAGCTCGCCCACGAAGAATTGTTTAAATAATGAATTTCAGTTTCAAGCTTTCACACTCAACAACTCTAACACACGATAACAAGTTTCAAACTTTCCTTTAACCCGGTTGGAAAGGAATTATATACTAAACAAAACTAACCAATGCAGCTTACTAAACACCACAACACATAGCATAACAGCATGACTAAGAAAAGGAAACCAACGGTACCCAAACCGGATTAACCCAGTTTAAAACTGGATAATTTATTCTTTTGAAGACTATTATAAAGTCTGAGAAAGAAATAATAAAACACAAAAAAGTCGAAAGACAAACCCATACCACAAACAATTTGATTTTTGAAAAAAGGACACAACCAACAAAACATAAGAAAAACCACAACAAACCCAACATAAAACGTTGTCACATAACAGGACCTCTCACAAAAACCGCATGCAATCATACTCCCACTCCTGGCCTAACCCACCAGAAGAGGACGTCCTGAGCATGCTCTATAGCCGGCCTAACCCACCGTGCTACATCCACGCTTTGTGACCACACTCCTATTTTTAATAAGAGCTACTCAAGGGTGAGTAACTCTTCAAAATAACTGAACTAAAACAAAAAGCTTTTGTGAAAACAACTAACCAAAATCATAATTAAAAAACATTAAACTAATAAAAGTTTTATAAAATGTAAATTATATTATGCAATATATAGATCAGCATACAACACCAAAGACGAACATCCAAAGACAAAATGAACCCACTACACTCGAAAAAGAATGGCCAACCACAATCAATATGCCGCCCACAATCACAACTCAAAGGATTTAGAGTACGACTTGACTTCGCAGAAAAGTACTTCATTGAACTAGACCAATGACCACCTCGATGTTCAAGTATACGTACAGATCCGAGTAACCAGGCATCCCCTCCACGCACAATCTCCACGCCATTTCCAGACAAGATCAAAACACAAAGAAGTTCTCATCAATGAAACAGAAAAACCTGACATAGCCAACCATTCTGAAATCAGATTTGAGTTTGTTGCGAAAACCCAGTCGTTGTCATGAGATGACACAACGATCGAACCTGGAACTTCTCTAACAAGAGAACCCAGAAGAAATATGATGTTCACCAAACACCAACGTCCATCATCCATCCTTTGAATTACAGAAAGACTATTCTAAAAAAACTCTGCAAAACCCGGATGGGTGGAACCTGATCTAAACTACATTTTATGATTGGATAAATTAGATATTTTACCAATGTAAAGTATTTAATATTAACCAATCATGATCCATCTGACTAACAATCCACTTATTTGTAAGTGCTGAAATTACTTGTAATTTCAGCACCAGAGAGATTTGAATTTAACTTAGAAATTAGTTGACTCTCCAAGAAGACTTCAGCAACCGCAATAAACCAGTATACCCTAGATCTATTGAGCCTAGCAGAGACTAGTTAAACAACCTGAGACTAGATAGTATAAGAGTAAGATTAGGATCGGTATTAGACTAAGAAGTTGTACGAATCTATCCGGCCGAAAATAAGATAGCGTGACGAGCAGACGGTGTACCCTATCCAAAATTACTCTATGAGTTATACACTTCGGTCATAACTCAGCTGGCCAGTTAGCGCAAATGATGGAACAAAGAAGGACAACAAAACTATAAAAAGTCTCTCTGGGAACAAATGGACAATATGATGATGAATCGGATGACAAGTGGGTGGGGAAGACCGAGTAACTGTAGTCCAATCTTCAGAGCCAATAGCAGACTAAAATCATTTGAAATCTGTGGCGATTCACCAGGTTGACGAGTGTTTGGGTATATGGAAAACATAGTGTGGTAACACAAGCAAACGGGAAAAGCACGGGATAAATTATCAAAACTTGCATCAAAGAAAACGGAGTTAGAGTGCTACTACTGAAACAAATTTCCGTAACATCTGTGGGTTTTTTTTTCTTGACGAACATTGGCTAAATATAATGTAACTGTGAGACATAATTTGATATAGTTGAGAAAACCTATAGAAAGTTGAAATGGAACATTTTGTGTCTTTTCCGCTGGAAGTGTTTGAAATTAAGGCTAGGATTCGTCCCAACGTGTTCAGGATAGTAGGCGTTAACCCTAAAATAAAACGTGAAAACCATGTATTACAAGTATAACGAGTGTTACTTTGCATTGAATTGCTAAAACTATTTCAATGCATCAGGTCGAGTTGTCTAGCGGTTAGCACAACACTCTGTCCAACGATAAACCAGGGGGTCGAGACCCACCAGGAGGTTTTTTCTAGCTGTAAATAGCGTAGATTGAGCTAATTTCTGATCGGAAATAAAATAAGAAATAAAAAAATTCCCGCGTTATTTGAACATTTCACAGAGAAATTTTGGCCAGATGTAGATTAGAAAATAAGTATTTCTCTTCAGAAATAAAGCATTTGTTCAGCACGGGTAGAAACGTTTCTTTCATCAATAAATCTTACAAGAAAGCTTCAATTGAAACACGAAATTTCGAAACAAAATTTTTTTGAGTTTTCATTTATCGAAAAAAAAGCTTGAAACACGAAATTTCGAAACAAAAAATTTTTGAATTTTCATTTATGGAAAAAATGCTTATCATACAATTTCATCGATGGAAAAAATGCTTATCATACAATTTCATATATGAAAAAAATGCTTATTTGCCTATTTTCATACATACACTTTTATTCTATGAAATTGTATGAAGAGTACGATAAGCATTTTTTCATATATGAAAATTGTATGATAAGCATTTTTTGTCAAGCCGGGGTGCATGCTAAGCTGCACGCATGCAAATCGTTACATCTTTAACATGCTAGCATTTTTTTCAATTTTTTCTTCAACTAATTGACAATTAAGTTCCTTGTCTAGATGAGATCCGTCTGCTTGTTATTCATTGTAAATTTTTCTGCGCCTTACATTAAAATGTCTTTTTACTGCCCGTACCAACAAAAGCCTCTAATCTGGATAGATATTTTATATTGATGACCTAAACTCATTTTCTGTGTTTTCTGTGCAAAATCTATTTGCTTCTCATCTAAAGTTAGAAAGGTACGTTTTCTGGGGAAAAAACAGAAAGCAGTTCACTGATCCAACCGCAACGTGAAAACCATGTATTACAAGTATAACGAGTGTTACTTTGCATTGAATTGCTAAAACTATTTCAATGCATCAGGTCGTGTTGTCTAGCGGTTAGCACAACCCTCTGTCCAACGATAAACCAGGGGGTCGAAACCCACCAGGAGGTTTTTTCTAGCTATAAATAGCGAAGATTTAGCTAATTTTTGATCGGAAATAATATAAGAAATAAAAAAATTCCCGCGTTATTTGAACATTTCACAGAGAAATTTTGGCCAGATGTAGATTAGAAAATAAGTATTTCTCTTCATTCATCAATAAATCTTACAAGAAAGCTTCAATTTTTTTAAGTGCTAAAGCTTATGGCTTTAATTAATTAAGTATGCTTCCGTTTCGCGCTGATCTGTTTTGCCTTGCCTTTAGTTTCCTTTTTAGTGCGGAAAATGACGTGAAAAATGATGCGTAACAATATTCCTTCATAAATAAACGGATATTCTTTACTAAAAAAACGTCTTCGTAACTACAACAAAAATTGAGATACGCGTTAAACGTTAGTTTTAACCAAAACAGTCAGCAATATGAGCAATTAAGCTTCATAATCTAGTTTTGGCATATAGATGAAAATCTTCGTAATATATCTTCAAGCCTCAATTCAAATGGTTTACAATAAACGTTGAAGCTCCAGCATATTAAGTTTATCGCCGTCTTCTTGAGTTTATTATACATAAAAAAATGCGTCTTCAACTTCCTCAGATACCAAAACCTCAGACCGATGAGGAAAGAACAAAGGAAGGAAAAATGGCCGAAGTCAATGTTGTGGACGAAAAGAGAGCCGAAACATGGGTGACGGACGAAAACAAGACCAGTGTCGAATCAGGAATATGGAAGAAGATTGGGGCGAAGGCGTGGAGTGTGTTTTTGATGAGTTCTGCAATATATGGAATGCTATTTGTCATTTTTGGCCACCTTGCCATCCCAGGGAAAGGTAACTCAGTGCTCTATGCACCGACTAGGCTTCGTTCCTTGAACCGTAACTTGAACCAGGGGGTTAACTGCCTCCTTTAAATAAAGAGTTAATTATATTTCAGAGAAAAAGTGAGAAAAAGGGAGCGGAGTCGCGGGTAGGAGCAAGGACAACATTGATACGTTTTAATTCAAAGTTTGATATGACGACTCACTTCATTTAATACTGTGAACCACAGCTGATAATCTGCCATTGTATAGGGTGCAAGTACTTTCTAATTCTTCTATTGATAAAAATCAATAGAATTCAAAAAGTTTTATAGACATGGTGAATGTTTTGAATGTTGCAGGCATGTTGAAACAGTTTGAACGTTTTACAGGCTTTCAAATGTTTTATAGACATGGTGAATGTTTTGAATGTTGCAGGCATGTTGAAACAGTTTGAACGTTTTGCAGGCTTTCAAATGTTTTATAGACATGGTGAATGTTTTGAATGTTGCAGGCATGTTGAAACAGTTTGAACGATTTACAGGCTTTCAAATGTTTTATAGACATGGTGAATGTTTTGAATGTTGCAGGCATGTTGAAACAGTTTGAACCTTTTACAGGCTTTCAAATGTTTTATAGACATGGTGAATGTTTTGAATGTTGCAGGCATGTTGAAACAGTTTGAACGTGTTACAGGCTTTCAAACGTTTTATAGACATGGCGAATGTTTTGAATGTGCAGGCATGTTGAAACAGTTTGAACCTTTTACAGGCTTTCAAATGTTTTATAGACATGGTGAATGTTTTGAATGTTGCAGGCATGTTGAAACAGTTTGAACCTTTTACAGGCTTTCAATAGTTTTATAGACTTGGTGAATGTTTTGAATATTGCAGGCATGTTGAAACAGTTTGACCGTTTTACAGGCTTTCGAAATGTTTTATAGACATGGTGAATATACTGAATGTTGCAGGCATTTTGAAACAGTTTGAACTTTTTACAGGCTTTCAAATGTTTTATAGACATGGTGAATGTTTTGAATGTTGCAGGCATGTTGAAACAGTTTGAACCTTTTACAAGCTTTCAAATGTTTTATAGACATGGTGAATGTTTTGAATGTTGCAGGCATGTTGAAACAGTTTGAACGTGTTACAGGCTTTCAAACGTTTTATAGACATGGCGAATGTTTTGAATGTGCAGGCATGCTGAAACAGTTTGAAACTTTTACAGGCTTTCAAATGTTTTATAGACATGGTGAATGTTTTGAATGTTGCAGGCTTGTTGAAACAGTTTGAACCTTTTACAGGCTTTCAAAAGTTTTATAGGCTTGGTGAATGTTTTGAAAATTGCAGGCATGTTGAAACAGTTTGACCGTTTTACATGCTTTCGAAATGTTTTATAGACATGGTGAATATACTGAATGTTGCAGGCATGTTGAAACAGTTTGAACCTTTTACAGGCTTTCAAATGTTTTATAGACATGGTGAATGTTTTGAAGGTTGCAGGCATGTTGAAATAGTTTGAACGTTTTACAGACTTTCAAAATGTTTTATAGACATGGTGAATGTTTTGAATGTTGCAGGCATGTTGAAACAGTTTGAACGTTGTACAGGTTTTCAAATGTTCAATAGACATGGTGAATGTTTTGAATGTTGCAGGCATGTTGAAACAGTTTGAATTGAACGTTTTACAGGCTTTCAAATTGTTTTATAGACATGGTGAATGTTTTGAATGTTGCAGGGATGTTGAAACAGTTTGAACGTTTTCCAGGCTTTCGAATGTTTTATAGACATGGTGAATGTTTTGAATGTTCCAGGCATGTTGAAACAGTGCGAACGTTTTACAGGCTTTCAAAATGTTTTATAGACAAAATGAATGTTTTGAATGTTGCAGGCATGCTGAAACAGTTTGAACGTTTTTCAGGCTTTCAAATGTTTTATAGACATGGTAAATGTTTTGAATGTTGCAGGCATGTTGAAACAGTTTGAATGTTTTACAGCCTTTCAAATGTTTCATAGACATGGTGAATGTTTTGAATGTTGCAGGCATATTGAAACAGCTTGAACGTTTTACAGGCTTTCAAATCTTTTATAGACATGGTGAATGTTTTGAATGTTGCAGGCATGTTGAAACAGTTTGAACCTTTTACAGGCTTTCAAATGTTTTATAGACATGGTGAATGTTTTGAATGTTGCAGGCATGTTGAAACAGTTTGAACGTGTTACAGGCTTTCAAACGTTTTATAGACATGGCGAATGTTTTGAATGTACAGGCATGCTGAAACAGTTTGAAACTTTTACAGGCTTTCAAATGTTTTATAGACATGGTGAATGTTTTGAAAGTTGCAGGCTTGTTGAAACAGTTTGAACCTTTTACAGGCTTTCAAAAGTTTTATAGGCTTGGTGAATGTTTTGAATATTGCAGGCATGTTGAAACAGTTTGACCGTTTTACAGGCTTTCGAAATGTTTTATAGACATGGTGAATATACTGAATGTTGCAGGCATGTTGAAACAGTTTGAACCTTTTACAGGCTTTCAAATGTTTTATAGACATGGTGAATGTTTTGAAGGTTGCAGGCATGTTGAAATAGTTTGAACGTTTTACAGACTTTCAAAATGTTTTATAGACATGGTGAATGTTTTGAATGTTGCAGGCATGTTGAAACAGTTTGAACGTTGTACAGGTTTTCAAATGTTCAATAGACATGGTGAATGTTTTGAATATTGCAGGCATGTTGAAACAGTTTGAATTGAACGTTTTACAGGCTTTCAAATTGTTTTATAGACATGGTGAATGTTTTGAATGTTGCAGGCATGTTGAAACAGTTTGAACGTTTTCCAGGCTTTCAAATGTTTTATAGACATGGTGAATGTTTTGAATGTTCCAGGCATGTTGAAACAGTGCGAACGTTTTACAGGCTTTCAAAATGTTTTATAGACAAAATGAATGTTTTGAATGTTGCAGGCATGCTGAAACAGTTTGAACGTTTTACAGGCTTTCAAATGTTTTATAGACATGGTAAATGTTTTGAATGTTGCAGGCATGTTGAAACAGTTTGAATGTTTTACAGCCTTTCAAATGTTTCATAGACATGGTGAATGTTTTGAATGTTGCAGGCATGTTGAAACAGCTTGAACGTTTTACAGGCTTTCAAATCTTTTATAGACATGGTGAATGTTTTGAATGTTCCAGGCATGTTGAAACAGTGTGAACGTTTTACAGGCTTTCAAAATGTTTTATAGACATGGTGAATGTTTTGAATGTTGCAGGCATGCTGAAACAGTTTGAACGTTTTACAGGCATTCAAATGTTTTATAGACATGGTAAATGTTTTGAATGTTGCAGGCATGTTGAAACAGTTTGAACGTTTTACAGGCTTTCAAATGTTTTATAGACATGGTGAATGTTTTGAATGTTGCAGGCGTGCTGAAACAGTTTGAACGTTTTACAGGCTTTCAAATGTTTTATAGACATGGTGAATGTTTTGAATGTTGCAGGCATGTTGAAACATCTTGAACGTTTTACAGGCTTTCAAATCTTTTATAGACATGGTAAATGTTTTGAATGTTGCAGGCATGTTGAAACAGTTTGAACGTTTTACAGGCTCTCAAATGTTTTATAGACATGGTGAATGTTTTGAATATTCCAGGCATGTTGAAACAGTGTGAACGTTTTACAGGCTTTCAAATGTTTTATAGACATGGTGAATGTTTTGAATGTTGCAGGCATGTTGAAACAACTTGAACGTTTTACAGGCTTTCAAATCTTTTATAGACATGGTGAATGTTTTGAATGTTGCAGGCGTGCTGAAACAGTTTGAACGTTTTACAGGCTTTCAAATGTTTTATAGACATGGTAAATGTTTTGAATGTTGCAGGCATGTTGAAACAGTTTGAACTTTTTACAGGCTTTCAAATGTTTTATAGACATGATGAATGTTTTGAATGTCGCAGGCATGTTGAAACAGTGTGAACGTTTTACAGGCTTTCAAATTGTTTTATAGACATGGTGAATGTTTTGAATGTTGCAGGCATGCTGAAACAGTTTGAACGTTTTACAGGCTTTCAAATGTTTTATAGACATGGTAAATGTTTTGAATGTTGCAGGCATGTTGAAACAGTTTGAACCTTTTACAGGCTTTCAAATGTTTTATAGACATGGTGAATGTTTTGAATGTTGCAGGCATGTTGAAACAACTTGAACGTTTTACAGGCTTTCAAATCTTTTACAGACATGGTAAATGTTTTGAATGTTGCAGGCATGTTGAAACAGTTTGAACGTTTTACAGGCTCTCAAATGTTTTATAGATATGGTGAATGTTTTGATTGTTCCAGGCCTGTTGAAACAGTGTGAACGTTTTACAGGCTTTCAAAATGTTTTATAGACATGGTGAATTTTTTGAATGTTGCAGGCATGTTGAAACAGTTTGAACGTTTTACAGGCTCTCAAATTTTTTATGGTCATGGTGAATGTTTTGATTGTTCCAGGCATGTTGAAACAGTTTGAACGTTTTACAGGCTTTCAAAATGTTTTATAGACACGGTGAATGGTTTGAATGTTGCAGGCATGTTGAAACAGTTTGAAAGTCTTACAGGCTTTCAAATGTTTTATAGACATGGTAAATGTTTTGAATGTTGCAGGAATGTTGAAACAGTTTGAACGTTTTACAGGCTTTCAAAATGTTTTATAGACATGGTGAATGTTTTGAATGTTGCAGGCATGTTGAAACAGTTTGAACGTTTTACAGGCTTTCAAATGTTTTATAAACATGGTAAATGTTTTGATTGTTCCAGGCATGTTGAAACAGTTTGAATGTTTTACAGGCTTTCAAAATGTTTTATAGATATGGTGAATGTTTTGAATGTTGCAGGCATGTTGAAACACTTTGAACGTTTTACAGGTTTTCATTTGTTTTATAGACATGGTGAACGTTTTGATTGTTGCAGGCATGATGAAATAGTTTGAACGTTTTACAGGTTTTCAAAATGTTTTATAGACATGGTGAATGTTTTGAATGTTGCAGACATGTTGAAACAGTTTGAACGTTTTACAGGCTTTTAAATTGTTTTATAGGCATGGTGAATGTTTTGATTGTTGCAGGCATGTTGAAGCAGTTTGAACGTTTTACAGGCTTTCAAATCTTTTATAGACATGGTGAATGTTTTGAATGTTGCAGGCATGTTGAAACAGTTTGAACGTTTTACAGGTTTTCAAATGTTTTATAGACATGGTGAATGTTTTGAATGTTGCAGGCATGTTGAAGCAGTTTGAACCTTTTACAGGCTTTCAAATGTTTTTACAGACATGGTGAATGTTTTGAATGTTGCAGGCATGTTGAAACAGTTTGAACGTTTTACAGGCTTTCAAAATGTTTTATGCATGGTGAATGTTTTGAATGTTGCACGCATGTTGAAACAGTTTGAACGTTTTACAGGCTTTCAAATGTTTTATAGACATGGTTGATGTTTCGAATGTTGCAGGCATGTTGAACCAGTTTGAACCTTTTACAGGCTATTAAATGTTTTATAGACATGGTGAATGTTTTGAATGTTGCAGGCATGTTGAAACAGTTTGAACGTTTTACAGAATTTCAAAATGTTTTATAGACATGGTGAATGTTTTGAATGTTGCAGGCATGTTGAAATAGTTTGAACGTTTTACAGGCTTTCAAAATGTTTTATAGACATGGTGAATGTTTTCAATGTTGCAGGCATGTTGAAACAGTTTGAACGTTTTACAGGCTTTCAAATGTTTTATAGACATGGTGAATGTTTTGGAGATTGCAGGCATGTTGAAACAAATTGAACCTTTTACAGACTTTCAAATGTTTTAAAGACATGGTGAATGTTTTGATTGTTGCAGGCATGTTGAAACAGTTTGAACGTTTTACAGGCTTTCAAAATGTTTTATAGACATGGTGAATGTTTTGAATGTTGCAGGCATGTTGGAACAGTTTGAACGTTTTACAGGCTTTCAAAATGTTTTATAGACATGGTGAATGTTTTGAATGTTGCAGGCATGTTGAAACCGTTTGAACGTTTTACAGGCTTTCAAAAAGTTTTATAGACATGGTGAATGTTTTGAATGTTGCAGGCATGTTGAAACAGTTTGAACGTTTTACAGGCTTTCAAATGTTTTATAGACATGGTGAATGTTTTGAATGTTGCAGGCATGTTGAAACACTTTGAACATTTTACAGGTTTTCAAATGTTTTATAGACATGGTGAATGTTTTGAATGCTGCAGGCATGTTGAAACAGTTTGAACGTTTTACAGGCTTTCAAATGTTTTATAGACATGGTGAATGTTTTGAATGTTGCAGGCTTGTTGAAACAGTTTGAACGTTTTACAGGCTTTCAAATGTGTTATAGACATGGTGAATGTTTTGAATATTGCAGGCATGTTGAAACAATTTGAACCTTTTACAGGCTTTCAAATGTCTTATAGACATGGTGAACATTTTGAATGTTGCAGGCATGTTGAAACAGTTTGAACCTTTTACAGACTTTCAAATGTTTTAAAGACATGGTGAAAGTTTTGATTGTTGCAGGCATGTTGAAACAGTTTGAACATTTTACAGGCTTTCAAAATGTTTTATAGACATGGTGAATGTTTTGAATGTTGCAGGCATGTTGAAACAGTTTGAACGTTTTACAGGCTTTCAAAATGTTTTATAGACATGGTGAATGTTTTGAATGTTGCAGGCATGTTGAAACAGTTTGAACGTTTTACAGGCTTTCAAAAAGTTTTATAGACATGGTGAATGTTTTGAATGTTGCAGGCATGCTGAAACAGTTTGAACCTTTTACAGGCTTTCAAATGTTTTATAGACATGGTGAATGTTTTGAATGTTGCAGGCATGTTGAAACAGTTTGAACGTTTTACAGGCTTTCAAAATGTTTTATGCATGGTGAATGTTTTGAATGTTGCAGGCATGTTGAAACAGTTTGAACGTTTTACAGGCTTTCAAAAAGTTTTATAGACATGGTGAATGTTTTGAATGTTGCAAGCATGCTGAAACAGTTTGAACCTTTTACAGGCTTTCAAATGTTTTATAGACATGGTGAATGTTTTGAATGTTGCAGGCATGTTGAAACAGTTTGAACGTTTTACAGGCTTTCAAAATGTTTTATAATTGTTGGGTTAATTCTTTAACTTTTAAAAATTTACTCCTTGCTCGTACCCTTACCCCTACTCAGCCCCCCCAGCGTTAGCGGTTTCCAAACACCTGCTACTTGGCGCTTATCTGATAAACACTCTAGGATGGGCCCTAAAATTGAGTGCCGTGGAATAGTGCCAAAAGGGTACCCTTTGGGTGCTCAGGTGGTCGAATCTTTTAGAAGAGGGAGTATCTTATCCCACCCCGTTACTCGACTCCTGTTTTGAACCAATATCTTTTTTTTTTAATTTTTCTACTTGATTCACGTGTGCCCTAACCTTTTTTCTGATAAAATTTTGGATAATTGTAAAGCCTAAACAGAATGCTGCAACCAGTAGTGATTTATGGTTCATCTCCGCTCATGTATTCGACCCCCTGAATACCCGAAGGTTTCCCCTTCCCTTGGCACTATTTTACGACATCACTTTTTTTGGTGACCGACACTAAAACTTTCACTAAAGCGGCTAAAAAACAAGGTTTTTGGAGAAAATTTTCCAAAAACTGTCTAAAATCTGCACCCCACCAGATAAAACCATAAAACAGTGTCTGGCTGCAACCATGTCTGATGAAGGACAAAATTTAATCTTTTTTGCGCTCCCGGGGATGCACGAGAGAAGGAATAAAACGCGGGTAATGAGCTGCTAAATTCTTTTTTAGGCAAATGCCAGTTATGCGGTTACTCTTGCGGCTTGAAATTGTTGTCCTACCCTCAAATAAAAAGTGAAAAATAAAAGTATCCTCAAAAACACACTTTATTTGATAATGCGTCGACAGTGCCCTGTTATTAGGGTTTATTTGAGTTGTTTTTGTTGTAGAAAACTCATTCGTGTTCACGATTTTCATCATGTGTGTGTGGGCATATGTGCTTTCTATGGGATTTGGTGCGTTCCTTTCTCCCGAAGTGGGCATGCTGCTTGCCGGTTAGACCAAAGTTTTCAAATGAACTTTTTTAGATTCACAATATTCCTTTCAAACCTAAATCTCAGAAACCACAATTCAGTATTTGAGAGATGTGAATGCAAGTTGAATTTGCTATACTTTCCAAAAAAAACCTGAAAGCACAACGAAAAGCAGCAGTTCTAAAAGGAAATTTCCGTGATAAGCTGCAATGAACTTGATAAGATGTTCCAAATTTTCCTAGCAAAAATCTTCAAACACCTTCCAACTGTTAGTTTGAATAAGTTTTGCTTAAATGCTGTTGAAAGTTATCCGGTTTTGTTCGGCTTAAAGTTCTGATTTGAAGCCAAGTTCGCACCCGTTCCGTAAACTTATAGGGGCGGATATGATCTTGGTCCCAACCTTGAATTCCTACCGACTAACAGAATCGAATAATTTGTAAGCAATCATCAAAATTGAACAAGCTAGCCAATATTAATCAGACCATGGAGGAAAACTGCAACTTGAATGCATAATTGTTGCATAATTGATGAAAACGAGCAACTGTCGTTTATTTTTTACATCGAACAGAGTGTCATTTTCTGCAGAGTCAGTTACGAGTTAGATCCAAAAAGTGGTCCTCACGGCATGATATGGCGATAGATGAACCCTTTCACAGATTAATCCCTCTTGGTCGCGTTTTATTTTGCGATCAAAACTTTTTGGTCCGGACGATGTTTTATACAAGTGAACATAGTCTGGACATATCGCACTACGGCCGCGATAGTCTAGAAAATAATCGCGATAATTTAGAAATTAGCCTTCGAGTACAATTGTGAAAAAAATGTACCAAAAAATGAACAAAAAATGGCTGATATAGATACAGAGCTCTACGTTTTAAAAAATCAATGCTTCAGTGAGGTCAACTAAAACGTTGAATACCGTAACGCTTACGAGGCAGGTTAATCAGATTTGAGAAAAACAAATGAAATTGAAAGTGAGTTTCAGCTGATTTACGGAATTAGAAATGAAGAATTCTTGCACAAAAACATCACTTGGGAGAGCACCATAAGACTAAATAAACCCTGTTTTCAGATGTCTCAGAGGGAGAATCAAAATGATTTTTGAAAACGCTCGTAGGTAGGGGTAAGAAAAAATTGAAATGAGAGCCCAACTTGCTCACAAAAATGGAAGGGGAAAAATCTTATGGTTTGGCAGAAGTAGAAAATAAATGTTATCCAGAACAAAAAACTTCTACAAACTATTGTCGAAAAACAATGAGGATGGCAAATTCAGTTTAATTATAGTTTACCTACAAAACAGCTTAACTATTTGGTCACTAATGGTGTGAATATATTTGTCTGAAAATTGATGGTTGTTTAGTTCCGGGTTATTATAATTTTGTACTATTTCTGTAAGTTTAGTGAACAAAAAATCAAACTGTCGAAGAAGACACGAGTTCTAGCAGCAATTGAGTGCTTCAACTAAAATTTTATGTGTATTGCGACAGCTCTCGCAAATTGTTAGTTGGATTTTTTGTTGCGTAAAAGTACTAATTACTTTTTGTAAAATTTAGGATTGGCATTCACTCCGCAGCAGATAATCCACTAGCAGATAAAAAAACTTTTTTTTGATAGTACGCGTAAAAATAGTAAAGAAGTAGTAATAAACGCTATTTTGTTCTATTATGTGTTAGATTGATTCAATTTTTTTGTAATTATTGGTTTTTGTACGACTTTTCAGTAAAAATTCTTGGTTTTCCTTTTTTTATCAGTTGATGCATACACGTCGATTGTGTATTCCAAAATTGGCCAAAAAAATTTTTATAGGCCAAAAAAAGGTATTTGAGTTTCAAACAATAATATTTTACCTAAAATAATTCCAAAATAATCAAATTTTTTGAGTTCTTCCATTTTTTTGCCTTTAATTAATGTACCTGTAAAACGTTTAACCGCCGATTTTTGTAATAAAAAAAACATATTTTTGTTTTTTCTGTGTTAAGTGTTATTTCATTGCCTGCTGAGAAAACTTTAGTTTCGTTTGACACTTCATGGTGATCTGCTTTTAGACTATTTACGGAAGAGACTGCTTTTATGACTCTATCGTCCGCAGGGAGTAACATGTTACTAAATTGTTGAGGACTGTTGCTTTTTTTATATCAATTATATATTTAAGAAGAATAGAATTGGGACTAATAATGGTCCTTCTGGGACACCAAACTTCATTTATTTATTTTTTGATTGTGTTCCCCCAATCTGATTATTGTGATTTTGTGTTTTTTTTTTGCTAAACACGATTTCAATAAAGGAAACAGTGGCCCTATAAGTCCATACTAGTTTTTCTATTTAACTTTTTCTAACAGAATACTGTGTTCGACAGTGTCAAAAATTTTTCACTTTTGCTCAATCAGATTTGGCTCAGTTTCAGACCGCAGCCAGTCATTCATCTGAAATTTGATCTAAAATTGTCTTAAGGTATCTCTTTGAGTATCATTTCGCATTGAATCACTCCTTGCATTCTTTCTTTGTTCAGGTGAGCCCTCAGCAACTTAAGTCTATAATTTTTTTTAATTAGGAGCCGCGGAAATTGCAACTACTAAAAATTTAGCTTTGTTGAAATTGTTGACAAGTTAACACTTAGTTGGTCATGTTGCATTAATTTCAACTACAGAAAAGCCAAGCTATAAAAATTTTTGTGTAAATCAAAAAAAAGAAAAAAAATTTTAACGGTTTTGCTTTTGTATCAAAGTTTTCAATCACAAAAAAAGTTAAAACAAAATTTCACCAAACTTTTTCAGCTTGCCTTTATTTTTAAATGATTTCGATATTTGTTTTTTTACCAATAACTAGTAATTTGAGTATTTCGTTCATTTATTTCTTCCGGTGAAGTCAAAGCAAATTTTTGTTCTGGTTTTCACCAATCAGTTGCTGCTTTTTACGCACTGCATCTTTTTCCTTGTTAAACGGACGCTGACCACTTTTTTGCATTTGCTTAACTGTTGGATTTTTTGATTTTTGAGTTTTTCGATTTTCATTTGCTCAACTATTGGTTTTCTGGCTTCCGGTACTCGTTTAACAAATAAATGACACAGCGCATTTATGAATAGTTGTTACACTAACCTCTCTTCTCCGCCAAGAGTTTTACATAAACATCCAAAGGATGCAAGTACTGTTTCACCTAAATAGTTTTACGATTCAGTGGATGCTTGTGGTCCTCGTACTTAAGTTTTCGATGGTTCCTACATGCTTCGAACTCATCATTGAAGTAAGTGAAGTTGATTAAGACTGAAGGCACAATTTTTTCATCCAACATTTTTTTGTTTGCTCGGTAATATATGGTAACCTTTCAAACTACTGCTCAAAGTTTCTACTGTAAAATATTTTTCCAAAATTTTATCACATTACTTCTCCTCATCCCGCGGATGAAACGGTTGATTGACAATTATCGATTAATTTTACGTATAGCGCTCTTTTGCTGTCGCACAAAAACATCTGATTCATCAACAAAGTATTTAAGTTCCTCGTATTAAAAAATAATTTCTGACTTATTGTCGTCCGCCTAGTTCAGACACTAGTCATGATTGGTTCTTTTGTAATCAAAGTTAAGTGTCTCAAAACAAACCAGCCATTAAAATTTGTTTAATTAGAACTGAAAGAAAAAAATCTGAGTTTGTTCTCGAATTGTTTTCTCTTTTTGTTTTTACAAAAAAAATTTGAACATTTAAAAAGCAAAGCTAATCAACAATTAAAAATGGCTGAAAATTGATAAAATTATCTACAAAACAATTAGTTAAAACAATTAAAACGACAAATTTGCCCTTGGAGTATTTAAGTTGTTCTTAGAATGTTTCGTTATTACAATTGAATATGACACATATCAAAATTGAGTTTGTTTTTGTATAAAGCTCCAAGATCTAAGCGCTCAATGAAAATCGTTAATACATTTTGGTCCGATACTGGTTGTTGTACGCTTGGTAATTCACCTACACAAACAAATGACAGTTATCGACGCGGAGCGCTAAAGCGCAAATACCTCCCGGCTACTGAGTTTTGCAATCTGAGTTTTTCAAAACGACTTGAAAACTGGCTTTGGGCTCGTTCTGATCTTTTATTGATCAAATAACCAAATGAAACTTAAAGCGTTTCTTTTTTCTTTTTCTTTTGCCGATGCTTTTGCTTTTCCTTGTATCAAATATACTTATGAGTTTGCCAGCTTTGAAATACACCATGTGTTTTTAAAATTAAATGATTATCAAAACTTTATTTTTTCAATTTCTAATTTTCGTCCCTATTAGCCTACAAAAACCATAAGTGGAAAAGATATTTGATTGTAAAACCTAAAATAATATATCGAAATTCCGTCTGGAAAAGCTCAATTATAAGCTGATCTTCTAATTTTGGTTCAATTACGGTTGCAGGCTTCAGAAAAGAAACGATTTTCGTTATTGCATTTGAAAGAAAAAGGAAAAATATTCCATCCTTCATTTGGCAATTTTTTTGTCCCTGGTCAAACTCATTATAATCTACATATATGATTACGATGTGATAGCTTCTGGTTTTCGATTCAATCTTTCTTTTAATTTTTATTTTAGTTGTCTTGTTTTTTGTGCTTTTATGCAATTAGCAACCTTATTTAAAAATTTTAGCGTTCACTGTGCTGGTTTTATTCAAACAGCACTTCGCCGCGGATAAGTTGCCGAGCATAAAAAATTCGCGTTACGGTTTCAGCATTACGAATACTTTCTTCAAAGCACGCATAATTTAGTCCAGAACATTGCCAATCAGCTATGAGAAACATTTTGTTAAAAACTATTTCGATCACCGGAAGTTGACTGAATAAAAAGCCACGCCAAATAAAAATTTTCTGTTTTCTTCGAAAGTCGGAACAACAAGAAAGACCCGTTTTTTATCAATTCAAAGCCCTGAATGTTCCTCTGTACTTCACGGCCAATTTAAAGAAATGTTGAAATTTGATAAAAATTTGTCACAAAAAATTAGTCTATATGTAAAACGACAACTTTGCCCTTGGATTAATTAATTTTTTATAAAAGTATTTTAATAATCCAGTTTATTGTGGCAGATTTCAAAATTTTTTTGGCATACAAATAGCACAAACAACCAAAGGGCAAAATAGATCTAAGCGCGCAATGAAAATCGTTAAGACAAATCGGTCCGATACTGGTTGTTGTGCCCTTGCTAGTTCACCAGCACAAACTGTACACAAACTGTTTTGCATCTGTACACAAACAATTGACTGTTATTTTTTTGTCTATTTTGTAGTTTTCTTCAATAGTAGTCTATAAAAGTAATAATTGAGAAAAGTGTTTGATTATAAAAGAGAAAAATCGAAAAATTGGTCTTGAAACGCGCAAACAAGAGCTTAACTTCTGTTTTTGGTTCAATCATTGTTGCAGGTTTTCTGAACAACACGATTGAAGATATTTGTTCTGAAGGAAAAAGAACATTTTGATTTTGCGTTTGCTACCATTTTTTCCCTGGTCAAATTATGCCCAGAAGCAAAAAGGGTGCGATCAGAACCTGTGATAACTGACTGAACCTCTGAGCATTATAATGAAAATAGACTTGGTTTCTAAGAGTTAATTTAATGATTGAAACCGTATTGTCGTTTTTTATAGGTTTTGTTATCTGAGTTCAACTGTGCACCGAGCCACAGATCTGAGAGTCAATCTTTCTTTTTTCTCTCAATAAAGGTCACGAATTATTGACCTTGATTTACATAATAAGGTAATATAATTTATAAATAACAATATGAACAACTGAGCCAAGGCCACAATATGGTTACTGCAAATGCAGTAGCAGTTGCGGTATCACATACCCCGCTCAGCCAATGAAATTTTATAATACTTTATCAAATTTTATAAATACTGAATAAGAATTTTAGTACTCAGTTTAAGGAGTTTTATTTTCTTGTTGACTTCGAATCATTCTAATGCAATTGGTTTGATCTCATTTTCCGTCTTTTTCTTCGTGCTCTTCCTCAAGTTGTAGTGGGACCCACCACTCATCGTTCCAAGATCGATTGATGTCGAGCGCCTCGCTGCCGAATTTTGTTCTGAAGAGATGTTTTTCTAGTAGTCCAAACTTCGTTTCCACCGAATTCGACGCATTGGATTTGAAATTTGCTAATTTGATTCGGTATACTTCAAGTGCGGCCTGATTTAAATCTAAGAGATCGTTATGATATGAAATCGACCTTACCGAATGTTTAATCGGATTCCCGTATCTAATCGGACCCTTTTTCGACCTCCCGCTTTTTCGAAGAGATGTTTCTTGTACTTCTGATTCGTCCAAAAACCCCGGAGGGTTATTAGATTCTTCCCCCTCTTCCGCATTTTCTTTAGAGTGCAATATATCTGCCGCCGTACGCTGTACTCCTCTCTCCAGCACCTGATCAGCCAATCGGTTCCAGTCCGCTGCCGTTAAATCTTTGCTGTTAAACGTGTCTAGGATTGTTTCTGGAGATGTATTGCGTGAAATTTTTTTCTTACTCTTTGTACTACTGTGAGGAGTAGAAGTCGATTTTGGTGCTCCCGCTGAGTTTGATGAACACGCCTGAGGTTCTTCTTCGACTGCCGCGGCAGCACACATATTCTGTAGATTGGTTGGTTGAGAATCCTTCGCGCCTGTGCCCCCTTTTGGTTTCGATGTTTTAGTGAAGGGCGCGGCCATGTTAGGTTTGGCCCTTTTCACCGCTAGATTCAAGCCACCGCCTTGCAGAATATCTTTTGACGTGACCACTGTTGGGCTGTCTTGGAATTTTTGCTGTGCCTCTACTGGATCTATGCTTCGCTGCTCTAGCAATAAATCCTCTTCAGATCCACTATTCTCAGCTTCCTCCTGATCATCGGGCTGCCGTTGTGATTGTTTTTGTTGCTTCTTTTTAGGTTCCTCTCCTGTTGGGGAACATCTATGGTTATTTTTGTCCTGCACAACAACCTTAGCCTTGGCAATGTCACTCTTCCGATATATGGACCCCGCTGCTGTTTTGACACTAGAGGGCGTTTCTGCCACGACTTTTCCTTTCAACGGCTTTGTGAGAGCCTTTCCGCTTTTCCTCCCCTCATTTGTTCTGAGTAGAATGGGTGACCATTGACGTTGGTTGACGATATCTTCCGGTTTATCTTCGACAAAACCACGTTCCCACGAGTACAACATTTCTTTTTGTAGCTCGGGGTTAATTGTACTTGTCTCCTCCACCGTACGTCGTAAGTCATTCGCAGATGTATCGCGTCTGGTTTGATTCCACCTAGCGTTAGCTTTCAGAAGTTCCATCAATCTTCTTTTGAATGTTTGTATAGTACGTTTCACTAAACCGCATCCGCGATGATCTCCAACTGGACAGAATTTTTGTTCAATGTTATTGTCAGAACAATACTTTCGCATAGTCTTACCTTTAAACCCAGAAAATTGATCGGTTCGAATTGATTCGGGTGTTCCATGGATATCAATGTATGAACGAAGAAAATTCGTCGACGATTTTCCCCTGTTGATTTAGTGATTTTTACCGATGGAAACTTAGAATACCTATCTATTGCTACCAGCAAATATATATTTTTTCCTTTATAGTCTTCGGGTAGACCAGCGTAATCTAACTGAACTTACTGACCCGGCTGCGTTAGCAGTGGGAGAGGTTTGGTAGCATTTTTCGGAATGATGTACTTTGCATTCTTACCATAGCGAGTGCAGCTTCTGCATTCCTCCGCCAGATTGACTATATCCTTGTGCAAATCAAATGTCTCTAAATGTTGATAAATGTAATTTTTTGAATTTTGAAACAGTCGGTTGTGGTCACGATGTGAAAACGGAGGAAAACTAGAAAGATCTTGGGCTGGTTGTATATTTAAAGCTTCATGGGCACGAAATGCGAAAAGACGAGCAACAAATGCAAGAAAGTCCCTTCATGAAAAGAAATAGAAATGTATTATGCAAAAGCGAGCATTAGAGCGAAAATTAATTGGTATACTATTTCTTCAACCGAAAAATTGTTCACCAATATACACTGATTCAGAAGGGGAACGCGCTCCGAAAAAAAAACGCATTTTATTTGTCAAATTTTCCAAAAAGTGCCCAAAAACTGCTTTTTTTGACACAAATTTTCAAAAATTTGCCTGCGGAAAAAAACGACAAAAATTTTCAAAAAATTTTTGGAAATCCGCCCCTGAGAAATCCTAGATCCGCCCCTGATCTTAGGTAAGACATTTTTTGAGCTCCGAACAAAAATTTTTTGAATAGTATAAAAAATCCGCTAAAACGCTGAATTACAAACTCGAAATTTGGCTGAATGAAAAAAAACACCAAAGCATAAACACTCGGGCACTTTCTTCGAAAGTCAAAACAATTAATTAATTCGTTTCAGAGATGAAAACAGCCTAAGGGACAACATAATCCGCTCTAACGGAGTGAGATAAATGAAGGTCATACGGTACTTGATCATTTGAGGAGATTTTATAAAATCATATTATAGCATCACCCTCGACAGGAATAATCAAATTGTCAAGCTATACTAAATGAGTGACTATCACTGGAAGAAAGATAAATAAACGTGAAAACCATATACAAAAAAAATTCCACTGCGGAAGTTTTTTTGTGAGATCATATTGCATTAGGCATGGTAGAATTAAAACCGCTACACAATATCATATGAGGAGCTTATGGAAAAAAGCTATTGATAAAAAAGCAATCTACTTTTTGCGCATGGTTTTCAGAAATCAGGTGATTTTCTGATAAATCTTCGTCAAAGATAGATCTTACTTCTTGTCATAATCTCATAAAACAGTTTTTCGATGATATTTTAAAGGCAATTATGCTCTGTGGGTATTAATTATCCAGGGTATTATCCATTAATTATAAACTTTCAATTTGGAGATTTGAGATTTTTTGGAAGGGTTCTAGTCATGCAATTCCCATATATAGCAGAATGCGTCATACAGTTTCCATTTATGGGATAATGCTAGTCATGGAGATCTCATGCATTTTTTTGAATATGCGAGCTGCAATTTTTGCCAACCTGGTCAATGTTCAGTCTTTTTCAGGTGTCATAACTCGCAGCATGAAACAATACCAGGATCTGCTGAGCCCTGAAGCATTCATGTCGGAACAGCAGTACCACTTAGTTAGACAGGTAAAGCTGAAACATGCAGAAAATTGGATTAGGCAGTTTCGCATTCTCTTTTTTTTTGCTTTAGTTAATCAATTTCATCGTATCATTTCGAACTATTTGCATTTGCACAGTTACCAGCCATATTGTGTTGATATATAGCGACGCCGCTTAAGCTGTCTGATATCTAATGTGCTCAATAGTTTTTTAATTCCATGTAACTTTTTGTTCTTTCCAGGTTGTATGGACTATTCTCCACGTGTCTCTGGGGGTCATTCTTTTCAGGGTGGGAATGAGTTTGGATCTGAAAGTGGTGTGGACGAGGATGTGGTCTGTTTTAGTGATGGCTCTGGTGCCTGCATGTCTGGTCGAGGCACCTGTTGTGGCTGCTGTGTCGTATGGACTTATTGGTACGGCTTAAATGAGTGACAAGAGAATCCTATTTAAATGTGCTTTCAAAAAACGGACTTTTCCAAAGACTTTTCCTAAAGGTGCTTTCGAAAAATGACCTTTTTCCCTTTTTTATACGCAGGGTGCCCCTCAACAGAAGAATAAGCTGCGAATAACAGAACGATAAAATGTGAACATTTTATACAATCATAAAAAAGTGCCAAAATGGGACGCTTTGAGTGTTTCGAAAACGGGTTGGTATCAAACTCGTGATAGGAGATAACATCCCCATTTTAGTTTGCTTGTAACATTTATAAAGTTCTTCATTAAGTAATTTATCCAACACAGGCATTTTTAAAAATCATGTCAAGGAAGGCATCAAGAATTCAATCGATTCAATCGATATTGAACAGAATGGTTGTCTATATTTGTATGAAACAAAAAGTCTTACCTTTGTTATCAGTGCGAATATGTTTCTTGTCAGTGTATCATCAAAAATCACTTTTCTGACAAAAATATTACATCTTACAAAAATAAGCTCTAGAATGATACAAGATAGTGACTTTTCTCAAAAAAAATTAAGATGGCGACTTTTCAGGACGAGAAGTTTTCCTACATAAACTTTTTAATATTGATTTTATGAGTTTTTTTTTAAAAACTTTCCTAGAATTGAATAAAAATTTTCTCCGCGGGCTCAATAACGTAATCTCAGAGGAGAATTAACAGTTGCTACATGAGCTAACCGAAAGAAAGGCAAGATAACAAGTTTTTGTACTTTTTGTTCCGACTTTCTTAACGAAAGTAACGGAACATTTCTGCTCGTGGTGGGTCTTTTTTCTTCAGACAAATTTCGACTTTTTAACTAGCCATTTTTGACGGATTTTTTTAATATCATTCAAAAGGTATTGTTATCTTAAGCTTAAATTTGAAAAGCTATTTCACCTGTGATCTTTTTTTGTAAAGTGATGGGGGTTGAAAGATTGTCATTTTGGCCAATTTGGGACAATTGACGCGCGATATATTTCGCGCTATTAACGCGGCGAGTGGAGATTTAATCCGTCCTAGAAATTGTTGCAAATTGGTTAAAGGAAGCTTATTTACCATAATTGATTTGATACTAGGACTTTGTCAATCACTAAATTCTTTAAATGGCGCGTGGGGAGGATTTTTTTCACAAAAAAATATCGAATTAAGAAAAAAAATTCATTTTGTTTTATTACATTTGAATTTTTCATGTTATTACTGCTCCATTGACGTTAAAAGGCAGTCGGAGCATTCAAGGCTTCGCCCTGATAAGAGCAGTCTGTATTTGTTTGTTACTGACTCGATAGACGGTTTGTTCCGACTTTCAAAGAAAATGAATAATATATGTGTCTGCGGTGGTTTTTTTTTATTCATCCAATTTTACAAAAGTATGGCTTTTGATCCGGAATTTTTTAGACTGGCAACCGGATGTCCTTGCACTAGAATAAAATGCGGCTGGCACCGCTGTTGAATAACATATTGATTGTTTCGATACGCGAATATGTGGCAAAGTATCAGCACTCGTAACCGTTTCAAGTTGAATTGAGGCGAATTATAATTGCCCTAATGAGTAGTCTTGCATCAATGTGTATGTGCTATACAGGTTTTCCCATAACAAAGATCCCAACTGGAATATTTCGACAAATACTTGATGGACGTACTTGAAAATTTGCACACACATCTAGCAGCCCAAGACTCACGTCTGTTTTCTACTCCAACTGTACGGCCCCCTCAAAGTGGCGCCATTTAGTTGCAGACATCTTCTAGTTCGTTTTTGGTTCCCAATAACTACTTTCTTCTGCATTCCCCGAGTTTTTTTTATTCAGATTTTGACTGGTGCTTTTTCCTTGGAACTTTTTGTAAATCTTAGCCCCTCGAGATCTGTTTGGGGTGGGGGGGGGGGGGGGGCGAACGATTTGGGAATTGAAGTGCGAATGGATGAATAGTCTCATCGGTTCCTTTTTTTGATATGTCACTCCAGAGATTTAATCTGTCTGAGAAATCGCTTCAGTGTGAACTCTTCAGGCCTACTTATAACTTTGTCAAAAGGAGATATATCAGTTCATACTTAAAATGGCGTTTGGGTGCTTTATTTCCAAAAAAAAAGATTTTTTTTTTGAAAATTTCCTGCATTTTCTAAAAACGAACAATACTCCGTAGACCTTAAAAATCATTCGAAACAATCAGAACTTTGCCCTGATACTGGCAGTCTTGTTAAGAGATCTATTTTTAAAAATTTTCAAATTTCAAGTTCTAGAATCGATTGCTCAAAATGCATGCATTAGAACAGCAAATTGACTTTTTACAAGCACACATTTGAACATACACGGCTTGGAAAAAAATCAAGGTTTCAACGGCTATATTTAATTTTTGTTTTCTCCAATTTTTGTTGCTTTTGGGGAAAAAAATGCAATCCTTAAATGTTTCTCATACAAAAATTGTAAAAAAAGGAAAACTACCTGCTACAAGTCTTATAAACTCTTAAATAAATAAGAAACTCTTAAGTAGATAAGTTTGATGTTTTTTGTAGGATGCTTAACCCGGGTACTCCAATATGACAAGGTAAAAAATATCTTCTGTCAGGTGGCCTCCTCATTAAACTGCACTATCATTCTCATAAGATAATTTCCCATATTTTTCCAAAACCATATTTTCAACAAAATGCCTAATCTTATTGCGTATTTTTCAGTTTCAGTTTTGTTCTATAACTAATAGCCTTTTGGTTTCAGGCTGGCCGATCAAGTTCGGCTTTCTGCTTGGATTCATTCTGGCTGTGTCCTCCCCCGCCCTTGTCGGCAACTCACTCCTGCACCTCAATTCCAAATGGGACAGCTTCGTGAACAAAGAGATATACGCAACTGTGGTAGCATCTATCATGCCTGCTCAAATCTTGGTCTCCATTGCTGCCGTTGTTCCTATTTTGGGTAACTACCCATAACTTTCACACTCTCAATTAGGAAAACTGGTATGAACCACTTGAGTCAAGAATATTTTTCAATGCAACTTGAAATAGTCGTGTTCTTCATGTGGATACGCGCACCAAAGTTGAAACATCGATCATTTAGTTGCTTAGTTAATCGACTTTTTCGTAGGTCAGTCTAAGGTTGTGAACCAAAGATTTTTAGTTTTATAATTAGAAAAATGGGGCTAGCTTTCGCCACTAGGCACGCCATTGGCATTGACCTTCGTGCCCAGAATAGCTAAAGGTTTAATGTTGTCGCAGAATCCTCCTTCAGCCTCCAACCCAATGGACTATTCGCCCCTTACTGGCCTCTGATGTCACTCGGAACAATCTGCATCGGGGTTCTGTTTGGGTTCATCCTATTCTACTTGCCTTCTTGTGAGACAACTTGCACTACCGAAACAACTAAGACTTCTAAATGTAAACTGTACGCGTTGGTTGTCATGGCGGCATCCATACTCATTATGGGAGAAGCAAAATTCATGGAGGAACAGAACAACATTCCAGGTACATCGGCTGCAGAATAATGCGACCTGAATTATTTTGGCGACATTTTTGTTTTCGATTAAATTGAGATCTAAACGCTAAAAAGACCCCATTTTGCCAAAAATATTTGCAAGTTTTTGCAAAAATGTTTGCAGTTTTTTCGGAAGTTTTTACTAAGAATACTTTTTCTTAGCGCGCTCGCGCATCCCTCATAAGTTTAGAAAACAAACATTAAGGCACCACGATCGGGTACTTTGATAGTGATTTGGATTTCGCATGCATTGCTTCTGGAATCCACAAAATTTGTGTTGATTTCCGTAACATTTCGAAATTCGTTTGAAGTCAGAATTCTGATGGAATGCTTTAAAAAATTCGAATATCATTTACATACGACTTAAACTGATAACAACAAGCAACCTCTTGGCTTACAGATTCCTTAGTTTTCTTATACCTATTAGATTTCTATTCGCAGTTAGCATCACTGGGTCTCTCGCAGTAGTGCTTTTCGCCGCCGTACTCGGTCGCAACAGCCGCAGTGTGGATCGGACTCTGAAGAACTGGTCCACTGCCACCTGGTCCTGTCTTCAATTGCCCATGTTTGCTCTCATGGGATACATTGCTCTGCATGTGTTGGTTGAGGGACGGCAGTCTTGGATGAATCCGGACTACTTTGACGAGACGTGGAGACCATATGATGAGATGCTGGCAAACCGAAGTGAATCACCTGCGTTTTTGGTTTTAGACTTTGTTACTTTTGTTCATTTTGGTGCCCCAAAAAAATTCAAATCTGATAAAAATCACTTAGACAATAACCGCTTGCCATAAAAGAATAGAACAGTTGTACGTTAGTCGTCATTCGCTTATTTGAGGACAGACTGTCTTAAACAAATTGGATCTCTTTATACACATTCCCTCTACCCTACATTAATTAACAAAGATCCTCAATCCACCCCTAAAAAGGACTAATTTAACAGTTCAGCAAAAAAAGATTTCCTACCGAGCAACGAATCCTCTTTCTTTGGGAAGTAGAAGGGGTGAACAATCCAAGAAAGCTGGTTACAGTGCGTGAATAGTGTTTTGAATATTGTTTGGATGCAGCAGTCGGTGGTGCTTTGAATAAGGTTCTTGGCAACAATGGTGTTCTCTTCAGATGTTGTGAGTGGAGGTGTTGCCGTGGCTGTGATTTCTGCAGGACTGGTGGCTCGCTTGACATCGTCATGTTTCATTGCCCGGCGTTCTGGATTCACCATCAAAGAATCCCTTTTCATTGCTATTTCCCAGATTCCCAAAATGTCTACAATGACATTCCCCTGCTGGGTCATTTGGTGAGCGTCAGTCAGTATTTCGATTGTAGAATCGTTTTATTGTCTATAATTAAAAAACGAAGGCTTCTCAGGTCTCAGTGGGGGGCGCTATCGCTGTTCTGACCCGTTATCATAATTTTAATACCGTTCAATTTAGCTACTTTTCAATTTAACAGTTTGTAACTTAGTCATTTCTTTTTTTACGATTCATCATTACGAGGCCAAACTGTGCACTGGATAGGAGCGCAATTTTGTGTCTGTATGTTCCTGGATTCCAGAGACAAGTCTTAAAATATGTTACAAAAATTAAGTGGATTCCAAAAAAAAAAATTTCAGTGGATTCCGCATAATTATACCTGTAACGTAAATTTTGTCGGCACAGTTGTTTTGTTGCGGATTCCGCAACCAGCAAATATAGTTAGTTGTTCTGGATCCCGCAACTGTAAGTGGATTCCGCAAATGTAAGTGGATTCCGCAAACTGTAAGTGGATTTCGAAATTCGTTCAATACTGAACTTGCATAGGAACAATTAAAAGCTGAGCTGGAATTCTTATCTCTAGCAATGCGTAACTTAAAAGCAAAGACTTAACCATTGTCAGTGGAATCCACGAACAAGTCTTAAAACATTGGTCACCTAAATCGGCGGATGTCATTTTTTAGTATATTGGAAACACAACACCGAACAATTTCAATATTTGGAGTCATTGAGTTGAGAGTGTATGGAACACACAGCATATCGACAAATTAGGTCAGTATTTGGGATTGCGTCAATCCCAAATACTGATTTTGGAAGCATAACGCCGAATAAACGCAGTAATTGTAGTCATTGGCTTAAGAGTGTATGGAAAAACAACACACAGCATATCGCCGAATTTAGTCAGTATTTGGGATTCCATCGATCCCAAGTACTGGTCAGTATTTGGGGTTGATGAAATCCCAAAAACTGAAATAATGTGGAATAAATATGGAATATATCCATCAATTGGAGTCATTAAGTAGAGAGTGATTAAAAACCCAACGCATAGCAAATCGTCGAATTAGTTCAGTATTTGGGATTTCATCGATCCCAAATACTGGTCAGTAATTGGGATTCCATTAATCCCAAACACTGATCTATTCTAGTGAAATCAAATCATGTACTTAAAAAATATAATTTTAAAGGCTACTACACATAAATATATGCAAAGGGAATCCGCAAACAAAATGCGGATTCCACTTACAATGTGCGGATTCCACTTACATTTTGTGGATTTCATTTACAGTTGCGGATTCCGCAACAGCTCAATTTAACGATACAATTGTTTACGGATTCCACAAATTGTTCTGAATTCCGCAAATACAGTTGCGGATTCCGCAAATTCGCCTTTTTTCGAGCAATTTTGAGCCGTACAATGATTTAGGTATTTGTTTGTGGAATCCAAAACAGCATAGAAGATCAAAGAAAAGTAGCAATGTTGTGGATTCCGCGACAAATCTGATTATGGCCTGTTGCGGCTTCCGCTTACAATGCATAGAATGCACAACTTGGCCTCGTAGTGATTTTGAACACAATTAAGCAACGGTTGTTACTCTTGCTAGAGAAAGTGTCTCATAATTAGATTTTTTCAGTTTAAATAGTTTCCTACAAATCTGCTAGAAAGACACGCAGTTTGCCGCCACGTGCAAGTGAATGCCTGCATGCTAATGGTTTTAAACTAAAATCAATTTTTGTAAAGTTATGGGGGTTAAAAAATTGCCTTTATGGCCAATTTGGAACAATTCACAGCGATATATTGTGCACTATTTACGCGTAAGCGAAGTTTAATCCGTCTTAGAAATCGTTCCAAATTAGTTCAAGGAAGCTTATAAGCCACAATTAATTTGTTGACAGGAGCGAAATCTATCACTTTGTACTTAATATGGCGTGTTGGGGAATGATATAACGAAAAAAAGTCTCTTATTAAAAAAAAACATTTTCATTTTTTTTATCCTATTTAAATTTTTCATGCTCCATAGACCTTAAAAGGCAGTCGAAACATTCAACCCTTCACCTTGGTACGAGCAGTCTTGTTTCAGTTTTTACTATTCCATTTGAAGACAATTAAGTTGCTACTGTTTTTCTTGCTAGAGAAAGTGTGTCTTATTTGGGAACTAGACTTGTTTCAGTTTAACCACTTTCTTACACATCTGTTAGATAGAACTGCAGTTGCAAGTGCATGCTTGCATGCGGAAATTTCCAAACTAAAACAAGACTGTTCGTATATCAGAGCACAGCCCTGAATGTTCCGACTTCCCCTTAATCAATATCGAATAGTTTTTGGGGGAAAAAAATTGAAAAACTAGATCGTGTAAATTTTTGAGTTGTACGAACTTAACACGACCGAATAGCTGGAACGAAAAAGAAAATAATTCTACATTTGGTTTCAGGGAGTCGATATAATCAAGAGTACATAATTTTGTTTTGTTAAAACTATTATTTCGATCGCCGAAACATGATTGAATAAAAAAACCACATCAAGCATAAATATTCCCTTTTCTTTAAAAGTCGGAACAATAACTTTACCTAGTTCATTTTTGGCACATGATGAAATTTGTCACGGAAACTTATTGCAGAAATGTCTGTTTTTCGTATTCAAGGTTTTTTTTCAAAATTTGTCGGCTAATTTGAAGGCTATTTTTTGTCGGCTAACTTCATTTATATTATTCATCATCAGCATTTATGTTCGAATTCATAAACTGCGTTTCAAATTTGAAAGCTTAGTTATAGTTTGAAATGCGAAATGTATTATGTAATACAGCGTTGTTTTTTCAGATTTTTCTTTCGAATAATGAGATGAAGCTAAATAATTGTTATTCCAAATTTCAAATAAATTTTGAACCACTTGTGCTCGGTGAATCTTTTGTAAAAGGAATTTGGCTATTGATATTTTGATTCTATCTGCGAGTTGTTAATTGCTTCCAATTTTCATTTTTCTTGTTCCGACAATTTCAGTTGAGTCAAAACTGTTCAGTGCCAATTCAAGTTCAAGAAAAAATTTGGCCCATGAGATCAATCTCCCCCTAAAAGACCAAGTGAACAACCTCCACCCCAAATTAAAGGGCAAACTCAAACAGTAAGGCATGCTTGTACTATTCTTAAATTTGATTGGCTGAATTGTATATGTTTTAACCAAGGGAACTCTCTCCTCCCTAAATCAGTTTAGGGGGAGATTGTTGACTTGGTCCAAAAAACCATTAAAATCTTTCAGTTTCTAGTAAACCTGAGCGTTTTGTTTGGCTTTTCAGATTTTTCGAACTGAAATTTAGCGTAAAATGACAGAGTAAACATGATCTGAGGATTAAAAATAGGTACATTAAGTTACTTAAATAAAATTTAGCTAAACTTTTCAATTACTTTAGCCATGAAAATGATTCATATTGGCAGTTTTTGTTTCTATTTCAATTGGATGTTACCTTGTAATTTAATAAGTTGCATAAATGAGTCGTTCTTAATATTGCTGCAAAAATGCCACTCATGATATGAAACATTTTGCGTGCACTGGATAAGAAAAAAAAACAGATACTCGTTTGATGACACTACGCTGCGTTTATGAAAGAATAAAATACATTTTGAGACAAGCTTTTTCGTATCAGGTTAAAGCCCTGAATGTTCCGACTGCCTTTTAAGGTAGATGTAGCAGTAATAACATGAAAAAAATATATCTTAAACCATAATAATTGTTTTTTTTTTCAAATTTGAGATTTTCTCTAAAAACATCCCTCCAGACATAAAAAGTACAAAGTGATAGATTTTGTAACAAGTCGATTATGGCATAAGCGTTTTTCAACCAATTTGGAGCAATTTCTAAGACCGATTAAGTCTCCGCTTAATCAATAAGAGCCCGAAATATATCGAGCGTTAATTGTCCCAAATTGGCCAAAAAGGCAATCTTTAAAGCCTCACAACTTTACAAAACATGATCACAGGTAAAATAAATTTTCAATTTGCAGCTCAGGACAATAAAACGGTTTTTTTTATATTTTAGAAAAACTTCATCAAAAATGGCTAGTTAAAAAGTCGAAATTTGTCTTCAGAAAAAAAACCACACCCCGCACAAATATTCCATTTCTTTCGTTACGAAAGTCGGAACAACAGAACTTCTCCTATCAGGGCAAATCCTTGAATAATTTGAATTCCTTGAAAAATTTATGAAGCAGTAATAACGTGCAAAAATTGAATGTAATAAGAACAAATAAATTTTTTTTTAATTTAGATTTTTGTGAAAATCATCCCCCCACACGCCATATAAAGTACAAAGTGATAGAGTTCGCTCCTAGTAACAAATCAATTATGGCAATAAGCTTCCCTCAACTAATTTGGAACAATTTCTAAGACGGATTAAATCTTCGCTTAATCGTTAATAGTCCGAAATATATCGCGCGTTAATTGTCCCAAATTAGCCAAAACGGCAAGATTTAAACCCTCTTAACTTTACGAAAAATAATCACAGGTCAATTGTCTTTCCAAATTACAGCGCAGGTCAATAATACCTTTTTAATGATTTAAATCAATTCTGTCAAAAATGGCTAGTTAAAAAGTCGAAGTTTGTCTGAAGAAAAAAACCCACCCGAGCACAAATTTTCCGTTACTTTCGAATTTATTATCACGTCGATTATCTGATTGGATATTTTTGGACTATTTACTTTAGGCTAAAATATGGTCCCATAGTTTTTGATTTGTTGAATTAGATTTCAGTTTGACCTGAGAATGAAGTGCGAGCAGAAAGTTACCCCACTTTTGGTCAAAGTTTTTAGAAAAAAAATCCACAAACGACATTTTTAAAATGGTTTTATCAAACTTTTTTGCCTATGACGCAGAAAAATGGCGCTCTAGAGAAACTGGAAATCTTTTTTCTTGACAAAATTTTTTCAAATTTCCGCCCCTTATATCATGCTGGCAACTTGCTGTGCATAGATATTGATACAAGGTTGACAATGAAACTCAAAAAGGTTGTCGAATAGTTTAATGGATATCGTTTGGTTGCTAAAATACATTTCCTTTGAAAAAACAATTTGCCCTTCTTTTGTAGTGAGCAGTCGTCCTTAAGTTTAGTGTTTTTTTTATTGACAAGGGCAAAGGTGTCTAAAAACAAAATTGATGATGGAAGATCTCTTTTTGGCATCGTACAGTTAAACCAAAATGTTTTGCTCTTAGACATTTGATAACCATTTTGGACAAACTTTAGGGCGATGAAGTCTAAAGAAGGTGTCTATGACGAGGTGACGAGCTCGATTCTGAAGGTGTCTGCAATTGCAGTGCTGTTCACTGTACCTTTGGGAGTAATTGCTACCAAGTGCGGAGGCATATGGCTGCTGGAACGGTGTGGAGCTGAACCGGCTCCTGATGATCCTAAATGGAACAAAGAAAACCCAGAAGCCAAAGATACCCCTCCAGAAAAAGTGTAGAGAGGGTTGAACACGACTACGGACAAAAAAATAGATTCAGATTATTTGAAAATGCGCATACAAAACAACTTACACTTATTCGCGAAACTATGAGACCTGTTGAGCTGATAGTGCTCACGAACTATTGAAAACATTAGAGCTATGAACCCAGAACTTAATTTGAAACGACCATTTAATTTCCCAATAAAAGATTTCGACCGACATAGCTCAAAACTGATCTTCTCTTAAAGACCTGCCTTTCCCATATCTAAGCTCAGTTTGATGACTAATGAGGAGACAATTACTGTAAGAAAACTACTAACCTAAAAACAAGGCTCCAAAATGTCGCGAAAAAGTATATAAATAGGTTATTAATGTAAGAACTAAATTCAAAAAAGAATAGCTGGTTTCGAACCACTGTTTTCTGAGAAAAAAAAATCAAACTTTCATATCTACGTTTTCCCGTTTTTTGGAAAAAAATTTTTCGGGGGGGGGGGGGGGGGCAGTTGTAATTTGAATTGGTCGGAATATCAGCGGAATATAGACTTATAAAATTATCAGTTTGATTAAGACCAGACTTGCTTAAAACTAGTCTTTTTTTTGTAAAATTTAAGGGTAAACTGCGACACAGTTCTCTGGAACCATTGACTTTTTTACGAACTATATCTGCAATTACAGCCAAGATCACAATGAAAATTTTTGTAGTATAACTGAAAATTCCATTCCAGTTATTTTTTTGCGGTTAATGGATATGTAAATTTCAGTGTCTTGTCGTACATTTGCCGTGCCTAACGTTGCTTGAAAAAAGCATACCCAGGAACTACAATGCTCCCCTCTTCCCGTTAGGATCAAAAACACAGCTGCAAATAGAAAAATTGATAGCCGATGCTGTGCATGTAGCACAGAATGTTTCAACCTCGATAATGAAAAAATCATTTTTTTTGTGAGTGGTGTGAAGAAAGTAGTATACAAACTACTATAAAACTAGTGAATTTGGCAAAACTGACAACCTTTTGCGTAATATTGCTTCAATTTTTGCTAGAAAATGCTATTCCATGTTTATTTCCAATGCTTATGAAACACTAAAGGAAGTTTCCGCGACTTTTTTTGGGTAAAAAAATGTTTTCAGCGTAATCGACCAATTTTAATCAATTTTTGCTAAATGAATTTTATTTGATCGCTTTCCTTGCTCGAATTTAAACCAAGTATCAAAAGCTTAAAACCAGTTTTCCTCGATATTGGAAAAACTTTTTGGATTTTTGTAACGTTGCTCAAGTCACGGCTAAAAAGAGGTTTCAATACGATTTATCACTCGATCCCTTCCGAGGATTATTTGTGGTAGTTGGTTTTGCGTGTAAAGGAAAAAATACTAGAACAAACCAGAGATCAAAGCTTCTCCTCATTTTCAAGAATCGGAACAAAAAAACTTTCCAAATTGTTAAAATTTTTGTCTCGTTTGTGATTAAAAAATTGGATCCCAGGTTTTATCAGTTTGTCCAAACCCATCTTACTTATTTTAAAAGCAACAAAAGGAGTGATTGGTTGCGCTTATAAGAAAATTGGGTTTTGTTTTAAAATTTTTATAAATAAAAGTAAGCCACATGTTTAAAAAATTTCGTAATTTTTCAACTAGTTTAGCACAGAATTTGTACAACTAATTTAAAAGATTAAATGAAATAATAAACGTAAGGAAATAAAATGTCCGTTCTAAAATTAGGACGAACAGTGCATGATCGACCGATGTTCGAATAATAAGATCAATTGACTGGTATCTAATCAATACCGAAAGTCGACAGAATGGACTATTTTTGAAGAAATCACAACTTCCCCAAAAATTTCGCCAAAACTTCGCATGAATTAAATTAGATGCATTATCCAAAACTGCACATGAACCGAAGTAGATAGGCAAAATGAATTAATGATTTTACAATTGAAATTTTGATATGTAGTAAAATGTAAAAAATGGATGAAATTACAATGTTTACAATGTTGGTATCCAAGATCAGAAAAAATCGTGTCTACACGATGTTCATCTAACATGTACATATTAAAAATAAACAAAATCTGACAAAACTGTGGTATTGAAAAAAAATTTGAAAGTCGGAGAAAAGTTCTATGGTTAAAAATTTTAATTTAAGTTTGAATCGAAGTTATATAATTGGTTTATAAGATTGGTGACAGTCAACCACGATATTTTGCTCTCATTATTTTCGCTGGACAGTGTTCTTAGATGAATTGCCGGGATTGATACACTGGGAGAATTTGATGGGTATTCTGAAAGAAGGTAGATAGGGCTCCTCCCGATAGGGTACAATTTTTTGAAGAACAATTTAGGGTGATCTCTGCTACTAGCGTTCGTTTCAAGGCAGCTCAACTTATTGTGTTCAGAAATCCGATTGTGATCCATATGTGAAGCAAACTGGAGTTGGATTAGATGTGATGCCCTCGTCCAATGTATTAACCTTGGGGTCTAATGATTTCTCTCTGGACAATTTGTCAACAAACCTGCGCTTTTCGTAGAATTTGAGGTCTGGATGTTCTCACTTGAGGTTCAAGTATTAATGAATCTTCTGGGGCGCTGTCAAGTTGAATTGAGTCGGATTCCGTTCCTATGATGCTTGAAGTTCCCGGTTGATCAAGTTGTGAGGAGGAGAATGCGGTCCGTTTGAATGAGCTAGAATTAAAAGTGTGATTTCGCCACCTGTATTACTCAAACCACGATGACAACCTGTCGGTACGTCTCGACTAATAGGGGTATTGTTTTTCATGGTCGTCGAAACAGTTGTCAATGATCCTATCGCAAGAGTTTAGATTTAGAAACGAAGAAGAAGAAGAAGAAGAAGAAGAAGAAGAAGAAGCTGAAGTGATCTGTGGCGACTGGGTAAAACTAAAATTTCTGATGAAAGTCAAGTTTGAGGTCAATCTGCTGAAACTTGGACTCGTCCGGAAAGTTTTCATCCCCGAGACTCTCATTGGTGAGACAGTTTCCTTTTTCCGGCTACATTTGGCAAAAAAATTATGTTTCGCCCCATGGGTGCTGATATAAAGAAAATTTTGTAAAGGCCAAAGAGCATTTTTCCTTTGAGAGCTAGGGTCGACTTTTGACAAATTTGACTACTCTTGAGCGTGACTGTTAGTTCTGAGGAGTCATTAAGGTTTTTTTTGCCAGATTAAAATATCGCTCCCTTTTTTTCGGTTAGTAGCCCTTCTGTAAAAATATCCTCGAGAAGCAAATTTTTCCGCGGAACTGCGTTTTTGTTTCGGTCTTGAACGCGTGTTGATGTTGTTTTCTGTTTGCTTTGACGCTGACGGAAAATTTCCATCTGAAACTGTTGTCGGTTCCATGTTTGTTTCCACGCATCTATCTTCTGCCCCATCGAGCAGTTCCCAGCTTTTGGCAGGCAGGTTCAAAAAGATTGATTACTCCTTATCTGAACAATTTTTAAAGATAACGACTTTTTTCCATCTTGTGATGGCGGTTTGATCAAAGTTTTCCTCAAAGGGAGTGCATTCTATTGAAGTTTGCTTGGTTATTCTCAGGTTCTAAATATTTTACTCAGTTGAAGAATATAGAGTAGAGAACGACGTGGCTAAAAATTTAGATCCAGCAGTATATACAAGTGTCTCTAAAATTATGTTAGATCTATAATCTCCCACCCATTGTACAATAAATGGTTCCGATGTTAAATTTTTCACAGGATGACTGAAAATTGTAAAATAAAAAGCACACCCTTGGTCAACTTTTTTCTAGGAAACCCATGGAGGAGGCAATATCGTTTAAAAATGAGATATCAGATTTTCGAGAAGTGTTATTCACCAACTTAGCGGAACGCAATTTAGGAAAACGGTCGATACACAAAAGGACGTGTTTCATCGTTCACCAAAAAAAGCGGCCGACGGTCCTGCGAAGTCCATAACTTGAACTTGGAAGTTAAGCTGTATGTTCCGTTCACATTAGTACTTTGAGGTTCTTAACGGCTTTCAAGCACTGGTTTCACGACTTTCCATGATCGTATATATCTCTCAATATAGGCTACCAGATATAATCGGCTGCCCGGGATAAAAATTTCATAACAAACTGCCCGGGATGGGTCTCAAGCAGCATTGATTTAAATGCTTCAAGAATGACAGCTAGTACAACCAGTTTGTTTTCCATGAAGAGGCGTTCTACATGTAGTTGGTTTTTTTGAGTGAATGAAGCTTTCAATTAACTTGATGAAATGGAGTACGTTTCATTAGAAAATGTGATGCTTCCAAATTTGATTACCCTGTAATGTAATCCGTGAAACTTTTTAGAAAATTGGTACGTGTCTGTGGTACCTCCGCCTATGGTGCTAAAGTTACACTGGTGGCTAACTTTTGCGCTAATATAAGTTGGCTGCAAGCAATTTTCTGGTCTAGTTAGCTGAATCAAACCTGCACGACGGGTTTTTCCAACAGTTGGTTAGCGACATTAACGACCAGTTCATGAATGTTTGTTATATTTGTTTGATATACTTTTTAAAATCCTGGTCGTTAAGTATTTAAGAATCCAACGCCAATTTAATTGAGCCATCTTTCTTTTCAGTCATCACAATTAGACTAAAAAAGCAATCTTCTTTGCAACTTTTGAGTTTTTAAATTTTACCTTTGTTCTTCATTCTTCTCAGTTCTTCATTCACTCCTGAGAGTAAATGTAAAGGAGATCTTCTTTTATTAGCCTGTACAACGGAGATTGAAAATGGCTGAATTTTCGGTCGTTAGGTTTTGTTCGGGTTCTACTAAGTAAGTCTGTAAGATACTTAAAGGTTTGGTCTGTTAAAAACGATAAGATATTTGACTTAATTTTACCCGGTTGGCGGCAGACTGAAGAGATTCGTTGCGAGCTTTTCTTCTGCGTGATATCTATTGCCAACATTGGTAGGCTGTCCTTTGCCCAGAGGGTTACCTTCGTGGACTCCTTAGACAAAAAAGGAGTTTCTCCGCAAATCCACAAGTTGGATTGGGTCCTAATGATAATTTTCCCCAAAATATTGATTTTTTCATCTGTAAATCAGCAATGAAGATCTTTTAATTGTTTCTACACTCGAGAATCTTTCATTTTGGGGTATCTAGTTTTTGGTTCTTGATAAAACCGACTGGATTTGTTGAAGCTACAGGAGTGTTCAAACTTACGAGAATCTTTCAACCTAGTCCTATGTTCAGATGTTTCTTGTTATCATTCTAGGTGTTTATCACTCTACGCATTTCTTGATCTTCGCTCCAGGAATTTTCCGGCGAAACGTTTGTACATTTGTCGATTTGG